GTAGCAGCTTCCTATGTTTAATTTCGTGTTTAGCTTCAGTGGGAAAGTTCTTCTTAAACCTTGAATTTAAGTGCATTTGGAATTTTTCGCATAGCGGAAGTTATTGTAAGTTCTTGATGGACGTTTTGATTTATATAGTATGTTTCATCTTCGCAATTTGTATTTAAATGAGTAAATGGCAAGAAAATCACCCTCATTTGATTAAGGTCTCTTTTATTAGTTCTCTATTTTTTTGTTTTTCCACAGTGCAGCAAGCGTAATCCTAGCGGGTTCCATGCAAAGGTTACTAAGCCCTCATTTTTTAAATCGATAATTTCTTGTCATTTCTGCAATCCAACTTTTTATGATTATTGTTATTTTCCAGCCTGCGTGTATTGGTGAACCTTTTATTTCAGTCCTTCAATCAAATCGTCAATTTGAAATGCCTGCCTAAGCGATGGACTAACTCGTCAGACCGAACAAACAATTAAGGGTTGAGTCCTCAAAACCGTAAAACTCTCCAGCACTCACCTTCATGCTAAGATTTGAGCCGTGAAATGCGTGTTGCTCCTAACGAGTGCTTTGTTCATCAGTCGCCTTTTGTTTTCTATTTTTAGTGTATTTATTTTGTTGTTTGCTATGATTAGGTTTTTGCGTATGTGTTAATTGTTGTGGACAACAATCATATGGTGTTTGGGTCAATAAAACATAATTTATTGGCACTTTGAATAATACATCAAATGAATTAAACGACTGTTTGGCATATCATTTATATTTAGTAACTAGAACGCAAATGATTGGATTCAAGGAAAATGTTTGTTGAATGACAATGTTGCAATAATCATTCCTTTACTGATTCATCTCTTCTCAATGGTTTGAGAACGTTTACAGCAAACTGCCCTGCGCGATTGTTGTTACCAGCTGGCCGGTAAAATGCGACGATAACTTGATCGCCTGGTGCAGCTAATTTGCCACTTCTAAATTAACGAAACTTTGTGATGAATGAGAGAATAGCCTCTTTTTCAAATAGGGAACTGGAGCTGATTGAACTTTAAGCCATTACAAAAGAAACAATCTGATGAGGGTTGTATGTTAGCCATTGGACAAAACCCGAATGGTCGGAAGCAAAAGTAAGGCAAGAGAAAAGAAATATCACGTTTGTTTGTCCTCCGATCTCTTCTATGTTTGTTTATCATTAA